CTCTTCATTCCTCCTCGCCCCCCTCTGCCCCCTTTACCCATTTCCATTCCCTCCCGTCCACCCACATTCTCCTATTTTCCACCCTTACCACTCTGCCCCTATTCCTTTCTATCTTTGTCCTCTCTAACATCCTCCATCTTATCCTTCTCTCCTCCATGCTTAGATCCTCGTCTACGTTCAGACCCCACTTCACCCTTAAGCAATCCGCCCTCTCCAGTACCTCTCTTCTATCCTTCTCCTCCATCATCTCCGCTATTAGTACTATTCTCCCCCCTCCCCTAACCTCTCTGCTATAATTTCTCCCATCTCCGATTCCCTTCCTATCATGTTTCTCGCCGCTCCCCTTATCCTCCACAACCTTTCCTCCCTGTCACTTCCCTCTACTCCTCTCCAAACTAATCTTCTCTTCCTACCCTCTTCCCTATCCTCCTCTCTTCCCTTCCCTGTTACCCCTTGTTCCTATTCCTTCTCTTCTCTTTTATCCTTACCTCCTTCCCGCCCCCCTGCCTCTCCCTTTCACCCCTCAATCTTCCTCTTCCACTTGCCGCTAGCCGGCACTCTCCCCCTTCTCCCCCCTCTTCTCTATCGACTTCCTCCCCTACCTCTCCTCCTTCTCTCTCTGACTCTTCTATTCCCTCCTCTCCCTTTTCTCTTCCTCCCCCTTTCTACTTTCTTCTTCCTTCTCTCGTTCCCCCTCCTCTTCTTCTCCCGTCCACTCCACTCTTTTTCCTATCGACTTCCTCCCCTCCCTCTGCTCCCTTCTCCACCCTCCTTCACTTCCTTCCTTCGACCTACACCCCATCTCCCTGTTTCCTTCCTTCCTCCCGGTTCCCCTCCCTTCCTCTTCTTTCCGTCTCATTTCCTTCTCCCCTTCCTTCCTCTTTCCTTTATCCTCCTCTCTATCCTTTCTCTCCCCCTGTTCCTCTCCAATCTCTATTCCTCCTTCCCTCCTTCCGATCCTCCTCGCCTCCTCCAGCCACCTTTCCTTTCTCCATCGTTCCTCTTTCCTCTCTCTATCTTCCCTCCTTTCCATAACCTCCCTTATCTCTCCCAATTCCCTTGCGATTCTCTTCATCTGCTCCACCATCTCCCTTTCGTACTCCTCTCTCGCCCTCTCCCGCTCATCCTCTCTCCCTGCCTGTCTTCCTCCTGCCATCCTTCCGTCCTCTTCCATTCCCTTCTCGCTTTCCTCTTTCGCTGTTCCTTCGTCACCGTTCTCCTCTGCCTAGCTCCTCCTCTCTTTCCCTGTTTCCTCCTCCTTCCGTTCTCTTTCCTCTCCTCTCTACGTCTCTTATTCCCTTTCCCCTCTCTCTCCCTGAATCGACTAGGAAAGAAAGAACACAGGAATAATGACAGAACTTTTCTTAAATGACTCTTCTCCCGTCCTTAACCTCCTTCTCCATTACTCCTTTCCTTCCATCTATTCCTACTACCTCCTGTCTCCGTCTCTCTCACCTCTCCTTTTCGCGCCTCCTCTTTTTCTCTATCTCTCCTTCCTTCTCCTCCTCTCTCGCTTTTCCTCCTCCTTTTCTCACTCTACTTTCCACCGGCGCTCTTAACTTTCCGCCTGCTCGCTTTCCTTCCACGCAAGTCGCCACGAGTACTGCCTGTTTCACTTCCAGCTCCTTCTACACTCCTGTATACCTCGGGCCTTCTCCCCTTTCCAACTCTCCTTCCTCCTGATCGATCCCTCGATTACTCGATCTCTCCCTCCAATCCGCGCTCTCCCGGCCGTTCTTCCTCTTCTCCCTCGATATTCGATTCTCTCCTTCTCCGACCTTCGATTAATTATCCATCTTCCTTCTCCAATCCGCTCTCCTGCTTTCTCTGCGCTATTCGATCTCTCCAATTCTCGCCTGATGGCGATCGTTCGATCAAACTCGTCTTCCCCTCCGTCCCTCCTACCTCGGTCTCTCCTGTCTACTCGCGTTTCTCCTCACCTTTCCATGCTCCAACCTTCTTCTCTCTGCCTCCTTTTCTTTCCTCCTGTTCCTCTGCTTCTCCTCAACAATCTCCGCTTTCTCGTCCGTCGCTTCACTTTCCTCTCTCTCTCTCTCTCTCTCTCTCTCTCTCTCTCTCTCTCTCTCTCTCTCTCTCTCTCTCTCT